GGTAGAGGGAGGGTGGGGACAGATGATAAACTAATGAGTCAGACCCAACTGGTGACAGCTGTTCCGTCATCCCTTTGCAATAGGAGGTGGGAAGGGAAAAACTAAAAAAAAAACACACACACACAAAAAGAATTCCTGAACATTAAAAAACTGAATTTGAGTAAATAAGAAAATGATGAAAACTACTAATTCAAGTTGCTATATTATTTTAAATACAGAAATGAATGCCACTATTTTATACCACCTACATCCAAGTAGATTTTTACTCACATTTTTCTCCTAAAGCTTCTATTTTAAAATAACAGAATCAATACTTTATTCTTCTAAATGTGCTGATACAGATACAAGTGTGTGTGTGTGTGTGTGTCTGTGTGTGTATAATGTGTGTGTGTGATATATATATCAGCATCTCTAATTTTCTTTCTAAGGAAAAACCAATTAATTGAACTATACATTATAAAGAATTATGAACCCAAAAGGTTTTTTCCCCGCTAAGTTTATTTCCATATCTAAATCTGGTCTAATTTACAGTTTTTCATGTTTATGCATGAGGCCTGGAACACTGAGGAAAGGCTGGGGAAGAAAACAATACAGGAATACAAAAGAATCAGTCCTTGCTTTCAGGGAAACAACCACCTGAGTCATCATTTAAATGTTCTCTAAACAGTCGTTCCGACTCATGAAGAAGAGAAGGATTCTGGAAAGCTGTCAAAAGAACATGTTCTTAAGAAAATACCTGAAAAAATGTTAGGTGAGAACAAAACACCTCTAAGACACGTGGCATGATAGGTAAAAGTAGGAGGCGATGAGTCATCCTGGCTGGTGTGCACTATATACCAGTAAAGGTCCCATTCACAGTAACACCAGCAACCGTACTTGCCAAAGCTTCTCACACAAGAAATCCTTCATAGCAAGCTATTTTTTAATTCAAAATCTTAGCAAAACTTCTCTTCTTTATTTCATCAACCACATGTAAAATACATGTCTCACCCTGTTTTCTATTAGAAATGCATTCAAATACTTCCTTAGCATATATTATATCCCAGGCATTCTAGCATATACAAAGACGAGGAAGACACTCTCTCTACCCTTATTTAGTTACAATTAAGAGAGAAAGATACACTGAAAAAATCTCCATACAAAATGAGAAAGAAATAATAAAAGCATGAACAAAATGAGGAAAGCACAGAAGTGGAAACAACTCACATTGCCTAGAGAAATCAGAAGTGGTTTCAAGGGAGGTCATATGTGAGCAACATTTTAAAGGATGAACAAAAATCTATCAGGTCAAAAAAGGCAGAAAAGGCATCAGAGGCAGAAGGGGTCATATAAACAAAGACATGTAAGCATAAAATATATTTGAGGAACAAGGAGACATTCAATGTGGCTGAAGCACTGGTATAAGGGGCATAGTAGTGAGTGCAGGAAATGAGACTTTAGAACAGTGGTTCTCAATCTTCTGGCCCTTTAAATATAGCTCCTCATAAAATTATTTTCGTTGCTACTTCATAACTGTAATGTTGCTACTGTTATGAATTGTAATGTAAATATCTGATATGCAGGATGGTCTTAGGCAACCCCTGTGAAAGGGTTGTTCGACCGCCAAAGGGGTCTCGACCCACAGGTTGAGAACCGCTGCTTTAGAAGAAGTGAGGAGAGCCTTACTATGAAGGGCCTAGTATGCTTTGCTACCTAAGCTAAAAAGTTTGGGAAACAATCTGAAATATTTAAAAGATGACTGCCATGATCAGATGTGTGTATTAAGAGAAGTAAAATTTATATAAACTGTTATAGAGCTCAGAATCAAGAAGGCATTCAATTAGTGGTACTACTGTTCTCAATACTAGAATATGTACATAACAATAACAAAAATAGATTCACCTTATGTCTTTGATAGTTGCTCGTTTCAGGGGATCAACCTGCAGCATATGCATCAGGAGAGTGGCGACAGAGCGATTGAGGTATTCTGGGATATAAAAAACACCCCCTCGGATCTTCTTAAATAACGTAGGCACGTGCTCATCATCAAATGGGAGAGTGCCACAGAGAAGAGCGTACAGAATAACACCACAGCTCCAGATGTCAACCTCAGGACCTGCATACAATCTAAGAAAAGAGATGATAGCACAAACCTGAAGTACAAGTGTCACTTTCTCACCTACAGGTACCCTGCCTCTATAGCCCTACACATAGTATGGACTCCATAAATATTGCTTTCAAGGTCTTTATTGAAGTTCATGGCCACTCTTCAACACTCAACACCAATGGAAAATAATTAATTGGTCTAACCAATTACTATTCAAGTTTCCCAAAAGAAAATAGTATATATTTTTTTGGCATAAACTCATTTCACTGAACTTATTAATTGACTCATTAAAAAATATAAAACTTTCTGGTTGATTTTTTAATAGAAACAACAAAGTAGATGACCATAAACTTGGTGGAAAAAACCCACAATATTCTATAATGTATAGGCTAAATCTTTTTACCACGAATCTATTACAAGAAAGAAAATGTGTATGTAACAGAATTTCATTCCTGGCACACCTATTTTAAAGAATATGTGAAACAGTAAAGTGCCTAACTAGTTCTGCAGCAATGTCTCTTACAGTATTTGTCCTGCATCACATTATCTTGAGTACCCAATGACTCTCTTTCTAACCGCTTGCTAGCATATGGGACTAAGATTAGCATTGCTCCAGAAAAACTATGCCTAGAAGGTTTTTTCTCTCACCTGTATACAGTATTAAAATTCCCCTGATGGCACATTACTAAACTCAAACCTGGGTCTGAGATAACAAAGTACATCTCTACAATTCCAATTTTAAAAAGGATATAATCTGCCCTAGCTAGTTTGGCTCAGTGGATAGAGTGTAGGCCTGTGGACCAAAGGGTCCCGGGTTCAATTCTGATCAAGGGCATGTACATTGTTTGGCTCCATCCCGGCCCAGACCCTGGTCGAGGCACATGCAGGAGGCAACCAATCCGATGTGTTTCTCTCGCACTGATATTTCTCTGTCTTTTTCCTCTCTCTTCCACTCTCTCTAAAAAAATCAATGGGAAAGTATCCTTGGGTGAGGATTAAAAAAAAAGGATATAATCCATTTCAATAAAAATTACTATCCATCATTAACATTGTTGGCTGTACTGCCCAAACTCCTATACCTACTATCTTTGTAATATACCTTTTCTAGTTTTTCTCTCATAGAATTCTGTTAACTCTTACATCAGACATTGGTCTCTATAGAAGACTTAAGTTTACAACTGCAATCTATATAAACATTTTAAAATGTACCAATGAGAAAATTATGTAATTACAAAATCTTCGCTTGTGCACTTGAATTCATAAAATGACATACTGCCCACCCAAAACCTCATTCTTCCAAAAATAAAATATAAAATACTCTATATACTTTAAAAAAGGATATGTAAAATATCATTAAAGGATCATGTTTGATAAGTAAATAATGACACTAGCTTAAATTTAGCAAATGCTTACTCTATTTACACTTTTCTAAAATGAAAAAATAAATCAACATTTATTTCAGTAATTTTTAATGGAAAACCTCCTTAAATATAATCATAACAAAATTAAATGTTTAAAATATTGCTTAATATAACTATTCTGTCTTCAACAATGAAAAAATTAAAGGGACAATTTGTTTCTACTGTGTTAAAAATCTAATCTTGTCAAGAGAATGTATAACTAAGTGTTATCAGAGTAAAGAAAAGATTATAAAAAGCTTACTCTTTGCTGATATATCATTACCTGCCTGAGATTACTTCAGGTGCTGCATAATTTGGAGATCCACAACTAGTTCGCAGAAATTCACCATCTGACATCATATTAGATAATCCTGAAAGTAAGAGTAATGTTTACCTGGTGCTAGATATTTCTAAAAGTAGAGAAAGGTGCATGAGGAAAATGTCAAGTCTTTAATGTTCATACATCATATTTTTCAAGTTATTATAAAAAGGAGTGGAAAGCATTTGTTAGACTAGAAGGAGCCCATTTCAGAGTGCTATTACACTATGACAAAAAAAGCTAAAACATATCACATGTGTGATTGGAATGAAATTCCTTTTGTAAATACTGATTCACTTCACAAATATGAGGTTATTCTAAAACTATATGAACTTTCCCAAACATAAAACTACCATAATATTGTTTACCCACTTCTACAGTTGAAAGAATAAAATAGAGACTATACTTTCAAAAGCCTTTTTAAAAAAATCTCTAGGTAGAAATCAGACAGGCTCCAGTTTAATAAAGATTATGTTCCAAAAGTTTTTAGTCTGGAAAGCTTTAAATTAAAAATAGAAAATATAATCAATTGAACCAAACATCTAGTTGAACTATAGTACTAAATGAATTCTGTGATTTAGAGAAGGAAGGGAAATAGTGAGACAAGTTTCCTGGTTTTTAGATTAAAGACAAGCTACTGACAAAATTTTTAAAACAAGCAGTGCTGACCTCTGGCACCATGCCATCTCTCTTTCTATAATCTCTTACTTCCGAATCCTTTTCCCAAAACATCCTGCACTTTAGCCTTTCCTTGCTCCTGACAAAAACTCCTCCTGCTTTGTCAAGTGGGAGATGTTACCGAGGCCCACGGGCACCGCCCTCTTGATTCACAGGACTATAAAGCTCCAGAACTGCATGCAAACTTCCATGTGCCTCCGGGTAAGTGCATTCATCAAAGTGTCCCTATTTTCAAAGGAGCTGTGATTCCCCCTACACACACACACACACACACACACACACACACACACATATATACACACACACATACACACACACATACACACACACACACATAAAAATACTTCAGGTTCCTTAGGAAGAAATGCAGATTGAATGGGTTTATCTTGATCCTACCCCTCTAACGAATCTAAAAGTAGTTGCTGTGCCCAGATACCAGGGGGGTAGAGGAGGAGGGAATGGAGGGATAAGGACACATAGGTAATACCTTAATCAATAAAGAAAAAAATTTTAATAAAATAAATAATTAAAAAAATTTAAAAGTATATGCTGCATTTTTTACATTTATTTATTTATTTTTAGTTATTGAATTTATTGGGGGTGACACTGGTTAATAAAATTATATAGGTTTTAGGTATACAATTCTATAAGTCATCGGTATATTGTATTGTGTGTTCACCACTCCAAGTCAAATATCCTTCTTTCACTATTTCTCCCCTCTTTACACTCTTCTACCTCCCCCACTCCTCTTTCCTTCTGGTAATCACCATATTGTTGTCTGTGTCTATGAGAATATGTTGTTTATTTTTCTGCATTTTTAAAAAGCATCTAGAATAATAAAAGTGTAATATACTAATTAGACCAGAACAGCCAAACGACCTTTCAGACATCATTCCAGACCATCTTCTGGACAAAGCCACAGAGGTAGGGGCAGAGGCAGAGGTAGTTAGGGGGCAATCAGGCAGGCAGGAGAGCAGTTAGGGGCAATCAGGCAGGCAGGCAGAGTGGTTAGGGGCAATCAGGCAATCAGGCTGGCAGGCAGAGTGGTTAGGGTCAATCAGGCAGGCAGGAAAGTAGTTAAGGGTGATCAGGCAGTCAGGCGAGCAGTTAGGGGTGATCAGGCAGAGTGGTTAGGGGCAATCAGGCAGGCAGGCGAGTGGTTAGGGGCAATCAGGCAGGCAGGCGAGTGGTTAGGGGCAATCAGGCAGGCAGGCGAGTAGTTAGGGGCAATCAGGCAGGCAGGCAGAGTGGTTAGAGGCAAGCAGGCAGGCAGGCAAGCAGTTAAGGGCAATCAGGCAGGCAAATGAGTGGTTAGGGGTGATCAGGCAGGCAGGCGAGCAGTTAAGGGCGATCAGGCAGGCAGGTGAGTGGTTAGGGATGATCAGGCAGGCAGGCAAGCAGTTAGGGGGGCTCAGGCAGGCAGGCGAGCAGTTAGGGGGAATCAGGCAGGCAGGCAGGCAAGCGGGTAGGAGCCAGCGGTCCAGGATTGTGAGAGGGATGTCCAACTGCCAATTTAGGCACTGGCTCGATCCCGCAGCAATCCCTGTGGGATTGAACCTAAATTGGCAGTCTGACATCCCCCGAGGAGTCCCAGATTTCGAGAGGGTGCAGGCCGGGTTAAGCCCCTGCCCCCTTGCACGAGTTTTGTGCACCGGGCCTCTAGTGTTTAAATAAACAGACCAAGCAAGCTACTGTGGAGGCTGTACAACTAATCCCTTTTCACAGCACAGGGCTTTACAACATTCAAATTGAAAGCTCCTAGTTCTTTAAGAATTGTTACTGACATTTCTGAACAACCCTGGAGTCACATACCAAAATCAGCTATCTTGGCATTCATGTGTGCATCCAACAGCACATTCTCTGGTTTCAGGTCTCGGTGCACAACCATATGCCTATGACAGTAATCCACCGCAGACAGGATCTGCTGAAAGAGCCGTCTGGCTTCCATCTCTTCAACCTATCAATGTTAAAGAAGCTGCACTAAAAATATTCGGGACATCTACATAGCAAGAGTTTCAGTTTCATACTCAGCCTAAATATAACTGAGGTATGCTCATTATTAGGTTCTGCTAGAATATTCAACAAATCGGACAAAGAAACCAAAAACTTGCATTTATGCCCAACATGTCAATCAACAGGTTTTTCTTTGCTGCTAGGCAATAATATTTCATTTTCAAATAATACTACTAAATGTGCACAAGTTCTGGGGAGTCAGCAAGTAAAACAATCTAAAACCGAACTTATGTGAAAGTGCTAAGGAAGAAAATTACTGACGCTTCAACATGACATATGGAAGAGATTTTTCATTTTGAAAAGCATAGGCATCATATTGGCAATTAAATGGTACTTATTTCCTAAAACCAGTATTTCAAAAGGTGTACTTTTTAAGAAAGAAGATTATGTCTAATAGTCTCTATGTTTAGTTGAGCATTATTACAGAAGCAACCCAACTTTAAAAAATATCTTTGTGGTTTCCTATTTCCCACTATATCCCTCTTTTCTAACTTAGGAATTTATTGTACTGCATAGTGTTACTCACCCGTCCATGTTTACAGATGTAGTCAAATAATTCACCACCAGACACATATTCCATTACCATAAAAAAATCTGTTGGAGTGCTGATCACCTGGTATCTTTTTGTAAATAAAAAAAAAGTTAAATAAAAATATTACTTTAACCAAAATCAATCTGTACATCTATTCTTGCTACAATTTTATATTCCAATGTTTTACAATATTTTAAGATGGCAACAGGTTTATAATGTTATCAAAATAATCAGAGAACTATAAACATAGAGCTTAACAAAATTCAACTAACTTTCAAGGCTTATAAACTTACCTCCAGTCCTCCCTTTCATGTTTACAAAATCTTTAAAATCCTTCAATATGCAACAGTTGAGTTAAGCATTAATTTTTCCACTTAAACAAAAACATGTTTACAGTCTATGGAGATCAAGTATCATAAGTAAAAAGTATTCTTGGAAAGGTTAAATGACACCACAGGAATAAAATTAACAAAATCCAGAAAATGGACAAGTGACCCTTTATTCAACATTAAAAGAGAAAGGTAAAGTTATAGATTAAAAATAACTCAAGAGACATATTGACCAATTACACTGTATACACTTCTTTTGATTCTGATTCAAACAAACCAACTTTAAAAGTCATTTATGAAACCATCAATAAAGTCTGAACACTAGCTGGATGGCTGATTTGTAGTTATTATAATAAACTGTATTTAAGTTATAAAAGTAAAAAAAGGCTTTATTTCCCAGAATAAAGAATTTGAAGGTTAAGAACATAATATTTGGGATTTGCTCAAAATAATTTAGGGTGGGAGAAGTGGGGAGAAGCGGATAAAACACTACACTGACAACTGTTGAAGCTGAATAAGAGATACATGAGGCTTTAACACTTTGTATACATTTAAAATTTTCCATAATAAACATTTAAATAGATGTATGTATTTATGCATGAAATTTTATTATTTATTTATTTATTTATTGGCACTCAAAGCTCAGCACATTTAAAAAAAATAATAAAAACCTTAGCTCTATTTGACAAAATAAGATTTTTCCTGAAAACTACAACTTCCCCCCACCCCACGCACGATTTTACAAAATGAAAACAAGTAAAATATAACATTGACGTTTTAACTGACGGTTACATTTAACACCTATAAAGAAACAATTGTTCTGCTTTTTAAAGAGGTTTGCTTTGTTTTTGAAGGATTATCTACAATCTGGTTAATCGTGAGCAACATCTAATTTACACTGAGTTACTATTTAAGGCTACTAAGTATAGATGTATAGTTTTTGCAAGGCTTAAAGGCACCCAGTGGAAAGCACAAATAGGAGCTGAAAAGAGGCCCAGATGCCACCCTTTAAGCAGGATACCTTGACATGGGATATGGCAGAAGCAGGGGAACCTTCTGGTAATTAGTCCACCCGGATGGAGCACCTTTTATTAAAGTGGTTCTGGTTACTATTCCCTGTTAAAGAGGAAGGGGAAATGGCCAGGAAATTGATGATCTAACTGCACACTATACATTTTAAAAGAGGACACTTGGAAAAAGTAAAATATTAAAGCTATAGTATTGAAAATGACAGGTTTTCACAATAAATCTTTCATCTTTGGGATAAGAAATTACAAAGTATCCCGCTTTATATAAAATAAACTAGTATGACTGCAATGATGTTGAGACTATTTCAAATGAGCTATGGAAAGGAAATTTTACCGAGAATTCTCAAAGCCATCCTATACCAGTAAAAGCCAACTTATGAGAGGCATCCTAGCAAGCACCAAACTCTAACTGAATAAAACCAATAGTATAGAGCAGGAGCACCTGCTATGTCACTTTGCTGTAGGCTAATCTGATTTATTAACAGAATTCTCAATCACTGTTCTGCTCTGTACATCTTTGGGGCATAAAAGAAAAGAAGGCATACAACTCTAATAAATTTAACTGCTAATTCCTCCAAGTATATCACAAGATCTTTAATAGCTACTTTTGGATTTTACTACTTCATGAAACTTCTAACTCTACAGCAGCCACTATCCACACCAAAGGCCAATCTGGAGCAACAGAAACCACAGCTATCATTACTGAGCACTTACTGTGTGTGCCAGACTAATTGCCACACAATGTTTACTGAGTACCTTCCATAGGTTGAATAAAATAAAGACTAAAAGAAGCAGACAGGCAAAAGCATCTCTAATAAATTAGAAAGTACTGATCTTTTGACCAGTTAAAATAAAGTTTCTCTAAGAACTATGGAGGAAAGAAAAACACGGACAAAAATTAATCCAACAAATTCTAGTTCACGGAAAAGTTTGAAGTTTTGCTTTCAATCCTGTTTACTCCTCTGAATTTTCTCCAGGTGATTATTCCCCCCGCCCCCAAATTGAGTTAATGGGGAAAGCATGGAATAAATATCCTTCATTCTTGGTATTTAGTTTTCAAACTTTCTCCCCAATTCTAGAGGCCCATTCTGTAACAAGGAAACTATTCTTGGCAGCTAGTTCAAAACTCCACAAAACAAACAAAACTAATAGGATCAGGTCCCTCTCCTTGTTTACATCACTAACATTATTGGAGGTTAAGTTAATAACTTGTTCTGTAGCAAGAATACATGAGAGTGCTTTTTTCTTTTTTAATTCAGATCCATAATGAAGAGGCAGTGTAGCTGAATGGATTAATAAGCTCAAGGCAGGAAGCCAGAAGCTTTAAACTTCAAATTCACCTCTGCCAACCCTGAGAACATTCTATAACTCCTGCAACAAAACAAAATACCCAACAATTAAATAACTCTAAACCAGAATGAGATAGTCAAACCAATATTAAACACTTACAAACAATTACAGAAACTGAGGTAAGAAAACACTGGTAAATATGACAGCAAAAATAAATCCTCAGGATCACTGCAACTGCTTACTGACAAAATTCGATTTTATCAGTACAGAAACTAGGACTCATACCCTAAAGAGGGCAAAATTTCCTGGGGGTCTTTTGGGGTTGTTGGTATTCTAAGTCACACGGTCAAGAAACAAGACAAATACAGAGATTGCTTTCCCTTCTCCACTCTCTGGCATGTGATACTTTTGGTCTGGCTTCCTAGCTCTTTCCTCTAATAGAAAGTAGCTACTCAGCAAGGAAGAACGAAGAGCTATCAGTAACTAGAATAAAGTCATTATTAACATGGAGTCAAAAGTACATATGAACTATTTCAGTTAGCTGAAAACTACTCAGAATCATGAAAGAGAACTGGAATCAGCTCATAGGTTGCCAACTCCTGCTTTGGGCCAGTGCACATTAAACACTAGGCATTATACCATTTAGTCCTCAAATAACACCATGAGGCATCCCATTTTTAAATTAAGGAAACAAACAGTGGGAGAGGTGAGTCACTGGGCTCACAGGTTATATTTTAACTCTTAGGATAATCTTTAAAATCCTGTATATACATATTCTGGATCACCTAGAATATAGGTCCCGGAGGACAACCTTATAATCAAGTACTGCCATGCAATTTCAGTGGCCTCATTTCTTGTTTATATTTATGATCGAGTGAACTCCAAGTGAAGACCAAATGACACCAAAGTGGTTGGGAACTTAGTCAACACAGGTTACCCAATGGCACACCAAACCCAAGAAAAGCCTTCTCTGAACAGTCAGCAGCATGCTCATGCTGTTGATGAGATGCACTGTATGGCCCCCATCATTGAATATAGCTCGTGATAATAAAGACTAAGTGCATGTTCCAAATCCCAGCAATAAAAGGGTCAGCCACTGATTTAGGATTTCAAGAATGCTACTGGTTAGCTTCCTATTGTTTCCATACTTCAAACCTATTGGCTGAAAATAACAAAAATGGATTTTCTTATAATTTTGTAGGTTAGAAGCCTGACATGTGTCTCACTGGACTAAAATCAAGGTGTCAGGAGAGCTGCATGCATTGCCTTCTGAAGGCTCTAGGGAGAAATCCATTACTTTGTATTTTCCAACTTTTAGAGATCGCCTGCATTCCTTATCTCATGGCCCCTTTCCTCTATCTTCAAAGCCAAAAACAGCCAGTAAGTCCTTCTCACAGCTTATTCCTCTGACCTTATTTCCATCCTAAAATCTCTCTCACTCTTTTGATGCCCTCTCCTAATTTTTATTAAAATATATTTTTATT